AGGGGTGGGTCGGGGTGGTTTGAAGAATACCTCATTTGCCGCATTTAGCTGGGTCCCAATTTGTAACTTAAGCTGAAAAAATAATTTTTTTCATTCTCCACCTAATTTTTCGTGTAAGGGGTAGTTTTTCAATTTCACCCTAAAAACTTTATGATCATCGTTTAGCATTTTTCATGGGCTTTCCAAAAAGGCGCCACAAGTGGGGTGTTGCCATTTAAGATTTTCAAGTGAGTAGGGGTGCCGTCTAAGGGGTAGATCGGGGTGGTTCAAAAAATACGTCATATGTATTCCCCTTCGATATCATAGAAACGGTATTTTTTATTTTTTTGATATCTTTTTTGGTTTAAAAATTATAGCCATTGTAAGTTTTCAGTGGCCCACCCTCTATTTATATTTATTTACAACTGATTTACTTAAAAAGCTCTGTTCGTGATTTAAAAAATAAAAATTATATTCATTAGAAATATAAGATATGAATCGGGGTTTATAATATTATTAGAGTAATTAAAAATAATGAATTGCTAAAACTAGATTCATTTTATTCAAAACAAAAATTTGTTATCATATGTAAAATATTTAATTTAGTGGCATGTATTTTAAATAAATCAAGATTATACCAGTTTATGTATTTCTCATTTTAAGATATTTATTACACTTAATGAAATCTATAACTGCCTTTTTCTTTTATAATAACTTTTAAAGGTTTAACGATAAGATTTAGGTTTAAATCTAGGTCTTAATTTTCAATCTACGTATTATGGCGGTATTACGGAGTATTACACTACAATTACGAGTATAAAATACATAAATATGTTTGTTAAGACATTTTGGAATTACTCAGTTGTATATCCTCAGGTAATATACATTTTTAATAAGCTTCACAACTCCAACACCAAATATTAATATTAATAAACTGTGATAATAATATTGATCAGGCCATGCTATACAGGTTATCTTATCTATACCGGGTGTTTTTCAAAAGTGGCTCACCCAATGTTGCCAACTGTCTAAAATAGAATTTCCCATGAAGACGGTTAAAATTTTCCGTTTTTGGGAATAGTTTTTCCACCAGTCCTCAAATCGAATATAGTGTCGCCAAGACAATACAGATATTATGCCGGGTCCAGACCAAGCAGACAAAACAACGACAAGACAGAAACATTCATGTTGTACGACAAAATTGCGACAAATCCAATACATTTCTGCGACATTTTTGTTTTGTTTCAAAAATTTCGATCTTTGATCTTTACCGACTCGAGATTTTTTAATATCCCGTCTCGAGTCGGTAAAGATCAAAGTGTCTATGTTTTGTTCGTATACATATTTTACGACAAGTTGTCGACGTAGTGTGGATGGCGTGTGCTACCAACAGTAGGAGACCAGTGAAATGGTTAATAAAACTCATTCGCAACAACTAAACTTTTGACTTTGTTGTACTTTTGTCCTTGCGGAGTTTTGGCGGACAATTTGTCTCAAGTTTGTCTTGTCAGAATTCCCCATTTTTTTTTGTCGCAAATTTGTCTTGTTTTTGTCTCAAAATGGTGTTTATTTTTTGTCGCCTTGGTCTGGACCCGGCATTATGTTTTTTAACTGAAAATTTAAAAACATTTCCAAACATATTTCGAAATATACTTTTCAATTTTTTTTTTCTCAATAAAAACTCAAAAGCGTGTTTCTGGGATCGAAATATACCATCCCTAGAAGTATTTACACTTAAAATTCACCATGTATTCAAGGGGTTAGGTTAGGTTAGGTTAGGAATAGGGTTGTGCCACTTGAACATTTGAAATGAAATTTTCATGTCGGCAACTTTTCCAATGTGAAATTTTCACTATTTTAAAAAAGTGAAATTTCAATTCGAATTTTTCAGCATAGAGGTGAAATTTTCAGAAATGTGTTGTGAAACTTCAACTTGCAGATGAAATTTCAAGTGTTCAAAGTGTTCACCGTATCGACGCAGGTATGGATCGTTGATTTGCTCGATTTGGTTGCGCGTCTGTAGAGGACCGGCGCTTGATCTTGACAAATGATAAATCGCAGTAGATAGATAGAGGTTATGATTTTCGTTGAAAATGTTGATGTATTATTAGATTTGTTATTTTTGTGCATTTTTTGTGTTTCACATTTCATAAAGTTTATTCTGTGACCTGTTTACCTACCAGTGACCTGTGTTCTGTGTTGATTGCAATTTTTAAAGAAATAATGGTTAAGTCCAAAAATAGTATTTGAAAATATTTCTCTAATTATCAAAATAATACCAAAAAAATAAAGTGCATATTTTGTAATGAAATTCATTACAAATATGTAACTCGTTTAGAAAAACATGTAAAAAGTTGTATAAAAACGCCGAGATCCATTAAATTACAACTAAAAGGGACCACCTGGGGAACAGCTAAAAATAATGACGTGTTTCACCAATAGACCAATTATTCACCACCTCATTTTTATGAATTTTTTTTTCAAAATTTTATAATTTTCATGAAATTTCAGTGAAATATTTAATTGTCAATATTTCAGGAAATTTATGAAATTTTTACTGAAAATTTGATAATTTGAAATTTTCACTGAAATTTTGAAAATTTCAATCTTTCAGTGAAAATTTCATTATGAAATTTCAACATAAGGTGAAAAATGAAATTCACCCATCCCTAGTTAGGAATAATATTGTCTGATGCCAACCGAAAATGTGTATTTAGTTGCGGTAATACTATAGTTTGAATTTACTCTCTTTGCCGAGATATGCGTATACAATAACTATTTTTTTACGAATATTACATGAATTTAGAATTTCCCACGAAATCACTGGGCTCACCACTATATAACTTTTTATATTTTTTTCAAATAAAAAAATGAAATTTGGTATGTTGCAGATTGTATGTGAGAGGGGATGTTAATCATTGCGACCTTAGATTGTTCCCCTTTCTTGAGTTATAACTAAAAGCCAGTATCTAAGAGGATTTTACAGAAAGATTTTAAGTTCTCCATCACCGATATCAGTCGTACCAAAGTTTATGGCACGAATGAAAATATTGTCGTCTCAGTTATGAGGTGTTCTGGTGTTTCCCCACAGACTCTGCATTCGCCCAAGGTTATTAAAAGGTAAGGTTGTCTCGTAACTCGATCCGCCATTATTGAAAACGTCATCTACTACGCCATAGGAATGATACCATATAGGAATAATACCGCAGACGTCATAGGAATGATACCACAGATAAAGGGATAAAAACTGCCCACAGTCCGACAGTGCATTTCCGAATCGATATTCATTGTGTACTTTATTGTTTATAGTGTATGGCGTCAATAGTTTTCAGTTGTTTGATGTGTGTTTTCTTTATTGTATTGTCCATTTATCTCTCTTTGTCGGTTGCATTTTATTTTTTTTCCTTTATCTATGATTTTATAGGTTCTGTAGCATACCTGTGACGTAGATGCAGCTTCGCTCGTATTGGTCCAAAAGTTACGAGACAACCTTATCTTTTAATAACCTTGGCATTCGCCGTTGTTTTTTAGCTTCAATCTACTGAAGAGTTGATTGAGGACACAGTGTCGTGTTAGAAACCACTTGACAATCCGAAGATTGTTCTTACGTAAATCAAGGAAAATATTTGATTTTTTTCAGTAAGTTTCGAAAAATCAGTTAGAGTTATAGGATTCTTATTCCAGGTTACGAATGGCGTCTTTCAGGTTCTTGATTTCCGATTTAGGTTGGTTTCTACTTGGGAAGTAGAACGGTTCAAGTCCAGTTATTGGATGTTTATTCCATTTCTAGCTAGATTGTTTGCTTTTTCATTACGTTCTATCCTTTGGTGAGCTGGCACCTAGAGTAGGAGGACTTTCTTTTATTTGCCTAATTTGTTCATCCCCTCTAGGCATTCTTTGACTGACTTCGAATTAATGTTTACTAAGTTGGTCGGTTTTGATGCTGCATGACTATCGGATAAGATGGCTATATCTTGTTTCCGATAGTTCCTATCTAAGAAGATGAAGTTGTACGCATATTTCGATAGCGTAGATTTTTCCTGAAGTATGCTGGGGTAGGTGTAGGGTTGCTAAACGTCCTCAATTCCAAAGGACAGTCCTCTTTTTGATATCACTGTCCTCTTTTCTCTCACGTATTGAAAAAGTCCTCTTTTTTACATACCAAATTCAAAATCTAAAAAAATATTCGTGTATCGTCACAATGCTTTAAAAAATTGTTATAATCTGTGTCTTTCGCTACTCTTACTGGTTTGTACAGAAAAGAAAATGAAGAAATAGGTACCGTGGGTATTTTTTTACTTTATTTGATACAAAGTGATAGTTTGAATAGAATGACATAACATGTCAACTCTTGACATTTACACTTAAATTTCAATCTTTTATCAAGAAGCTCTGTAAATAGATTGTCAATGTTTTTGGTGACTTTCCTGGCCGGTTACAAGATGCCCCAATCGAATTTTTAATCATAATTCAATTTTTAGCCGACCATACCAATAGGCTATTAAGATCGGCAAAAAAAACGTTTTTTTAGTTTCACTCAAAATGAGTTATTTGGGTCTATATGACCTAAATACAAAATATTTTCATGGTGTCTGTCTGTCTGTCCGTCTGTAACACGATAACTCAAAAACCGCTAAACCGATTTTAACCAAATTTGGCACAAAAATACTGTGGCACCCTAGAATCTGGCCATTAGTTTTTGGTGGGGGTGGGGGGTTAAATATAAGCTAAATATTATGCTTTCTCTATGGATACAACAGACTACCGCAAGCTGTTGCTAGGATATCTAGCTATTCTATTAATTTTAATTGTGTTTTTATACATTGTGAACGATCGTAAACTAAAAAGTATAAAGTGTATTTGAAACCACTAATTTATTCCACTAATTAGAAGGTTCTGAATGGAGCTTTACCCTTTTTAATTGAAAATTAACTCCCTTCCCCCATATTGAATATATATATTTGCAATACTATATCGAAGTTCTTGTCGACGCACAAAATAATTTTATTTGTTCTCTTTTGGTGGTTACACAGGTAAAGACGGGAGCAAGGTGACCACGGTAGTGGCGACGCCCGGTCAAGGGCCCGACCGACCTCAAGAAGTTTCCTACACCGACACGAAAGTGATCGGAAATGGAAGTTTCGGAGTTGTTTACCAGGCCAAGCTGTGCGAGACGAACGAGCTGGTGGCGATCAAGAAGGTGCTCCAGGATAAAAGGTTTAAAGTAAGTGCTTGCACCTTATACTTTATGTTTTAGTTGTGTAAGGGACGTTTACGTCATACCTGCCTGTGGAAGGGTTTTTGTTTAACTTATAACTTCATTGAAACTGTTGCGAGAATAAACCTTAATATCAAATTTATTGCTGTGTCTAGGTACTCTTTAACGTGTACCACACCTAATATTTAGGGTTTTTAGGGTTGCCAACCGTCCTCTATTCCAGACGACAGTCCTCTTTTTGATCTCACTGTCCTCGTTTCTCTCGCGCATTGAAAAAGTCCTCTTTTTACATACCTATCAAACTCAAAATCAAAAAAATATTGGTCTTATCGCCACAATGCTTTAAAAAAATTGTTAATCTATGTTTTTCGCTACTCCCACTCGTTTGTACAGAAAGGAAAATGAAGAAATATTTATGTACAAGAAATATTTGTTAAAGCGATCAACATGTTTTAACTATTTTATGTTTATTTACTGTTAGCTTATGTTTTGAAAAAAAAATTGCTGAAAATGGTTTGTTTCATTTTAACAAGTTTTGAGTATAAAATTTTTAAGAAAGTAAGAAAGCCCATCAGTCTCATACCGTTTACATAAATTTGTGGTAAATTCTAGACATTTGGGCGAGGGTTTTAAAAATGTTTCGCCTGTGCCTCCTTTTTACTCTCTCGTCCTCTATTTTTTATTTTGAAAGTTGGCAACCCTAATTTAGGTACACAGGAATACGTCAAGTTATGACGTAAGAAACATGCGTGTACCGACTTAGACGAGTTATGATTTATCTTCATTTAACAGTATTATTTTGAACAAAATACCTGTATTTTTTAGAGTTATCCCAACGATTTTATATTAAATAGTAATACCGTATGATCGAATAAAAACGGCGTCAACGATGGCTATGAAATGAAGATCGCTGTCATTTTATATGTAAAATTATATTGGAAATGTCATCGATCGTCATTTCCTGTGTCATCGATCGTCATTTCCAAGCCAACTGGACGCCATTTTTTTCCATCATACGGTATAATATACATACTAATACCTCTACATAATAATACCGCATGATTGAAAAAAAAACGGCGTCAAAGACGGCTGGGTAGTGACAATCGATGATAATTTTGGCTAAGTCAATCTCTAGATATTATTTACTAAAAATTGACATAAACTTGTCAAACACTAACACTAATTATAGAAATATTAAAACAGCATAGAACGTTTCCAGACACGCATCTACCGGGTGCGTTTCAAAAGTGGCTCAACCCTATATTTTTTTTTTTCAGATAAAAACGAGATTTGGTATGTTAGTATATGACATAAATTAGGATTGACTGACATATTCAATTGTTTTTGGTCACTTCCTGTTTCACCGGAAATGACTGCAACTTTTGATTTTTAAATGGCACCCTCGGAATTTTTAGCCGACCATACCAACAGGTATGGTAAGCAATGAGTGTTAAGATCGGCAAAAAAAAGTTTTTTTAATTTCACTCAAAATGAGTTATTTGGGTCATAAATGACCTAAGTACAAAATATTTTCATGGTGTCTGTCTGTCTGTCCGTCTGTCCGTCTGTAACACGATAACTCAAAAACCGATTTTAACCAAATTTGGCACAAAAATACTGTGGCACCCTAGAATCTGGCCATTAGTTTTTGGTGGGGGTGGGGGTTGGTAAGGGGGTATGGGAGGGGGTTAAAAATTTAAAATCGTAACTCCAAAATTACAGTAGCTAGCGAAACGCGGTTTTCAATTTAAGATTAGGAATGATACTTGCAACAAAATTTGTAATAACATCAAAATCAGTCAGTCGCAATTTTTGAGATACTTCGTGTTTCCGTAGTCCGTTTTTGAGAAAATCCGTGTGGAGAACTCCAAACTCCCATCGGACGCGACCCCAGGTGGCGGATAGGGGAGATGATAGTGTTTTGTCCTGGCCTGTTAGAAAATGCTCAAATCGTATTTTTAATCATATCTCAATTTTTTCAAATGGAACGAAGGTGGCTCATTAGCATATTTGGAAAAACATTTTTTTACGCATAATTTGATACCACACACTTGGTATTTCGAGTGAAATTTTCGTTACGAACCGCAAGATATAATTTCAAATAAACCATATGCGAAAATGTTAAAAGTTGACATATGATATGTCATTCTATTCAGAGTGTTATTTTCTATCGAATAAAGTAAAAAAATACTGAGGGTGCCATTTAAAAATCAAAAGTTGTAGCCATATCCGGTGAAACAGGAAGTGACCAAAAACAATTGAATACGTTAATCAATCCTAATTTAAGTCGTTAATAATTGTCAAAATTAGTGTTTTTAATACAGCCAGGGCACTCTAGATTGAAATATAAAATACAATTTTTTTAAGCGAGAATGTGAAAAGTTGACATATGATATGTCATTCTGTTAAAAAGAAAATTCCACTTCTCCAACTCCCAGTGGATGACATACCAAGAATTTACAACTTTGAGAAACACCTCACTGTAGTATTGAGTAATAAAAAGGATTGGAAGAAAGAAACGCTTACTCAGCATATAAAAGACCATACCATAACGTGGTATACTGATGCTTCCAAAACCAAAGCAGGAACAGGGGTATTTGGGACGAAAACCAAATACTCCGAACCAATGGGCACCTACCCCAGTATCCTTCAGGCAGACATTTACGCTATCGAAAGATGTGTACAATTTATCTTAGATAGAAACTATCGAAAACAGGAAATTGTCATCCTCTCCGATAGTCATGCAGCACTAAACGCGATCAACTCAGTAACCATCAATTCAAAGTTGGTCAAAGAATGCCTAGAGAAGCTCAACGAGTTGGGCAAAGAAAATAAAGTCCCCCTACTCTGGGTGCCTGCTCACCAAGGGATGTAGAATGTAGAATGTTTAGGAGGGGAGTTAATCCCCGCGACCTTACAGATCTATTGTGTTTTCCCCTTTCTTGAGTTATAACGAGTTATAACTCATCATACAGTCTCTGGGCTTTAAGAAAAGCCAGTATCTGAGACGGCTCCACAGAGGCCAGCTCTCCATCCTCGACATCAGACGTACCAAGGTTCATGGCACGAATCACCAAGGGATAGAAGGCAATGAAAAAGCAAATGATCTAGCTAGGAAAGGAGCGAAGACTTCACTAACTGGACCAGAACCGTTCTGTTTTCCAAGCGGAAACCAACTGAAAGCGGAACTGAAGAATCTGGAAGACTCCAACCGCAACTTGGAATGGGTGTCCTCCAACGGTCTAAGACACTCGAAAAAGTTCCTCAGAACCTACGACCGAGAAAAATCAAAAGGTTTTCCTTGATTTAAGTAAAAACAATCTTCGGATTGTCACGGGGTTTCTAACAGGACACTGTCTCCTCAACGAACACCTCAGTAGGCTGAAGCTGAGAAACAACGGCGAATGCAGATTCTGTGAGGAATATGGGGAAACACCAGAACACCTCATCACTGAGTGCGCCGAGACGACGACCATCCGTGCCATGAACTTTGGTACGGCTGATGTCAAGGATGGAGAGCTGCCCTCTGTGGAGCCGTCTCAGATACTGGCTTTTGTTAAAGCCTTGAGACTGTATGATGAGTTATAACTCTGTTGCGGACCCGTACCGTATGAACTCGGCCTTAGGCTTGGCCACTTGGCTATGAATCATACGCCCACCGACGTTCGAAGAACGCCGCTAAGAATTTTCGAGATATGTCTGGATTGTCTGTTTCTCTCATATATAAGCCGATGCCCGAAACCTGAAGGGATAGAGATAAATAACCAATCGACGCGTACAGTTGCAATCGCCGCGCTAATTCAAAATAAATTTCTGTTAGATAAATTGTAAATAAGTTATAATAAGTAAATAAGTTATAAATAGTTCTTCGTCTTTTAATTGTTATTGTTTTTGTTAATTATTGTTAAATAAATTGTGTTTAAATAAATTGTGACTTTCTGTCCACACGGAACCGTCGAGAAAAACGTAACAATTGGTGTCAAGTGTGGCGTGTGTGATAGACTAGGAAAATAAAAAGACAGACAATGGCTCCGAAAAAATTGTTGAAAGACTTGAAAGTGTCGGAATTAAAATGCGTATTGGAAGAGAGGGAATGCGAAACAGATGGAAAGAAAAGCATTTTACAAGCCAGACTGAGAGACGTGTTGATTGAAGAAGGTGAGGATCCTGACACATTTTGCTTTGAGCTGGAAGGTGACCTTGACTCGTCCTTACAAAAATTAGAAGATAAAATAACGGAAAATTCTCAAAAGTTGGAAGAGAGTTTGAATGACAAAATGACAGAGAATTCTCAAAAATTAGACGCCAACTTGAACAATTTAAATAGTAAAATAATTGACTTGGAAGTTAATTTAGAAGAGAAAATCAGTGATAAAATTAATATTTTAGAAGATAAGATCGCAGAAAATTCTAAAGACATACAGGTCAGCTTTAATAATAAAATAATTAATTTAGAAGAAAAGATAACAGAAATTATAGAGAATTCTACGGAACTACAAGACAAAATAACACATATTGAGGATGATGTAAACCGAAAAATCGAAATTTTAAAAGAAGAAATAGCGAAGGCGACTTCACCAAACCGTCAAGAATCGGCGGAGGACCCGACACTCGTCGAAAATAAGTATATCTTAAAGTCAGTTATTAAGCCTCCACAGTTTGACGGAAAAACCGCTTGGGCCAATTATTTTTGCCGGTTTGAGGCCGCTGCGAGAGCGAACGGATGGACAATCGCTGAAAAGGCTACCGCTTTGACTGTCGCACTGCGAGGCGATGCGACTGACATCCTGCAGACACTGTCACCATCGGAACAGGGAGATTATCAGCAATTGGTACGACATTTAGAAATGAGGTACGGCCAAGCTTATTTGGAACATGTCTATTATTCCGAGCTAAAAAATCGCATTCAAAAGTCAAAATGAGTCTCTGCAGGAGTTTGAAGCCGACGTAGCCCGCCTCGTTCGCCTTGCGTACCCTACTACGCCCGAGAATGTTATGGAGCGGTT